ACAGCAGTGCAAATGCGTACATATTTTATGTGCATTCGTGCAGTTATGACAAATTACCCTTTTCTGAGGGTAAAAAATGAGGAAAATAAAGATGTGTAAAGCAAGCCCTTTAACTCATTGTAAGACTTGCAGCACAATCCCTTAACATCTTACATCATTTGAAGTGCATTGCATGTTTAACCCTCGGAGGTGTTTGTCTTCTTTAGGAAATGAGCATATTGTTTGCATTCATACCACACATTCTTTGGGACAGCTGTAGCCTGTAGTAAATGGGGCTATGAATGGGTGGGAGGGCTGAAAGAATTCCCAGAGCTATATTTGTTTCACTTTAGTTTTTGGTCGTCGTCATCTGTTTGTAACGTTGCTGCCCCATCTGCAGGGTGAATATCACATTTTGTAAATAATCATATTTTTCTCCTTGGTGCTCAAGAGGTTTACCTAGGCAAGCTTAACCAGGGTGACCCAGCTGACTGAAACATTTAATGTCTCTTGGGCACCTGCTGAGGACTTGTGACAGGGAGCCGCAGCTGAAAATTGCCAACATTGGTCAGGAATCTGATATTCAAGGTCAGTGGGGAAAATAGGGCCAAGAATAAAAACTCCTCCACTTTCCCCTGCATAGTGTCCCACTCAGCCAGACCTGGAGCTTTTTTCAGTTGTTTGACCGTTTCTCTCAGGCAAGCACTGAGAGCTGAATAGTAGACTGCCTCGTTGTCAAGAGGACACTTGACACTCCAGTCCCACCGTCCTGGAGTAGGGGCTCATAGGCTTGTGATAAAGCTAGTATGCTCTCGTGAGTGCCCCTTTGCTCCTGTCAACAGCTGGCCTTCACTACTGACGCTTAATACATGCTGCCACATTCTCTCATGCTGCATCCATGATCTGTAAAACTAGTATATATTTTTTTCCTATTCAGATATGTTTTGAGTATCTTCCATGGTTAATACCCATCTCTTTATATTTTTTGCAGCATTAATTTTTTTCCCCATGTTATTTGAAATGACTACTGATTACCCGTATAATATTAATTGAAACATCCTGAAAGATGATCTGCTCAGTCCATAGAGGTTTAGACTTAGGTTTTAGGTTTTAGTTTTCCGCTTGTGTCTTTGGACTGCAGGGATTGTTTAAGGTCACCTTGATTCTTAGTTGTACAGATCGGGCAACCCAGGTGTTCTTTGAGTACTTGAAGTTCCCTGGCCCGCTTTGTGACTTGTTCTTCTGTTCTGACCCTGGTATCTGTTACTAGTACTAAACAGGGGAGGGTGCTGCTTGGGTCATTGTTTCCAGGATGATACTAGCTCTTAACCTTTTTGTTTTTGCTTGAAGACTTGATCCCTGTAAATGGTTTGAAAAGATTTAATTCAGTCTCCAGTATTAATAAGGTATTCTGAATGCTGAGATAAAAGCTTAAGCAGGGGTAAACAGTGCCATTCTTGATCCGTAAGGTACTGACATTTTTTTTTTAAAAAACCAGAGCTACGATTAATATAGATTGGGGCCTTAATGTCTGTGTTTGGGTGTTTGGTTGCCTCTGTGTTAGCTGAGCCAGAATTGAGTCAGCGTGTCAGGTTTCGCTGATGGGTGACCCCAGAGCAGATGGTGCAATGCAGCCATTTGGTTTCCCAGACAGGGCTGAAAAATTGACCAGGGGCTCCCATTTAGCTAGTCAACCTACTGTAATCTGCATCTCTGTTTTGGTCCACTGAGGTTTCCTATGAGTTCTAGATGTGTTTTAGAGTCATTGTGTTTTGACCTATTAATTACATGGGGGCAGCACAGGGGTGCAATGGTTAGCACTGTTGCCTCACACCTCTGGGTCCTGGTTTAGAGTTTCTGTCCTGGCTCTGTGTGTGTGGAGTTTGCATGTTTTCCCCATGTCTTCATGGGGGTTCCTCCAAATTCTCTAATTTCCCCCCGCCACAGTTCCAAAATATGCTGAGGTGAACTGGAGTTCCAAAATTGTGTGTGTGTGTGACTTGCGATAAGTTGCTACCCCATCCTGGGTTGTCTGCTGTGTGCCCATAGGTTCTGGGATAGGCTCTGGGCCCAGCGTAGGACAAATAGGTAGAGAAAATGGATGGATAGATATTAGGGGTGGGTCTAAAATTATTATCATGGTATTTTTCACTTTTTCGGCGATGATAGTATAATATCACTTTTTTTCAGGTTTTTGGAGGAGTAACATGTCTTGTCCTTTTATGTAAATGAAAAATATATAATAAGTACACTTTAATTTCTATTACAGTTGGGTATGGGTGGTCTTATTTCGATATAGTGCTGTCACTATCGATTATATTAATAATTGAGTAATCTACCAATTTACATTGCAGGGTGTGCGCTCAGCTAGACATACAGCCAATATAGGCATTCCAGTTCACTTAAGTGTAATGTTTTTGGACAGTATAAGAGTCGGCGGATCTGCTGAAAAGGGACCCACACACAGGGTGAACATGCAAACTCCACACAGACAAAGCAGTGGTATGTAGCCACAGCGTTATCAGGTGCTCCACTGTACCGCTAGGTTTGTACGATGTGCAATGTTAATTTCATGCACATGCCATCATCACATTGCAAGGACTACGATAGTCTACTGGGCTCAAACTATCAATTAATTCCGCTTACTTACAAACTTAGCAAGCTTTGCAATTTTAATGATGGTTCCTTTTCAGTATTATGTAGCATATGTTTAAAAAAATGTCGAGTTTACTGCCACTGCTTTTGCATGATCACTGCATGCGATCTCCGAGACAACCTTGCCATTTTTGTTTTTTCTGTTGAACTGATTCATAGGCTGTGTGGTGCATTTGTGAGAAATTAAGCAATGAGTGAAGAAGAGAAAGGAGAAGAGGAACTGGTCACGAAAAGCCATTCGTATTCTTCTGTATGGAAATATGTGGTGATATTCTGTAAAGGTGAAGTTCTGCTTTGCAATACTGACAGACAACTGTGCTCTCATTCACTTCAGTGTCAAGTGCTTTTACATAAATGATGCTTTCACACTCTATTTGGACCCTCAACCTGCATCCTGCACCGTCTACCTTCCAAGAAGGAAAATTTTAATCAATGCTTTTTAATAATCGAGTAATAGTGACAGCTCTAAATAGATATAACATTACATGTCCCTTTTTTTCTCACATTTGTTTAATAATTATCGGAGTACTAATGCCAAGGGAATGAATAGCAGCTTCAGCCAAAAACAGTATATTTTACAGTTAATTTCAAATAAAACGCAGGGTTGCCAGCTTTGGTCAGCTGGCTGGAGTGAGATTTTCAATTTGAGGCAAGTCTGCTGTTTTTAGGTTTACAGTGGAATGATATGTATTTACCGTAAGATTTCTTGTGTGAGCTTGTTCTGTTAGCAACATTACGGCTTTTTAGTTGATGGTGCATGATTTGTTGCTGTTAACACTAATCGCACATTAGCGCGAACAAAAGGACTGCATATGCCAAAGCATGTCTTGCTTGGTGGTTAAAGGAGTTTCACGTTCATATGTGTGGGAAATGGGCAGTTCTGGTGTTAACTGGGCAGTTGCCTTTTGCCATGCACCTTGCATGGAGGCAGTGGTGCATATATTTGCTGATTTAGCGAATATGTTTTTAATGTAACCAGATTGTTTTGTTTAAAGAGTGTAATTATACAAAATCTGTGAGTTTAATTTGCTATTGCAACATGGTGTCCGAGTGATTAATAGAAAAATCACACAGCACAGATAAACCGGTTACATATACTATATAAGGACTACTCAAATTACAACTGAAGCTTTGAAAAAAAATTTTAATGCTTTATTTATTATAAATGGGCTGTTGTATAAATGGACCGACTTCTTGGGGTGTTAACAGTATAGTACAAATCCATATCATGGGGCACAATCACATCGGTAATGACTATGACACTGGTGTCCCACCCACCCCTAACAGATATTTACATATTACTCACCAAAGTGTCTTACCCAGCTAACATACTTTAGAATATCCAAAGCCTGAATTTTTTAAATGCTGTGTGTAACAGGCCTGAGGCGTGGGTGCATTTGGGTTTGGTCATCTTGCACTTCCTCCTTAAAAATTCTACATATCAGATTCCCTGTACTGCCAGAGCTGATTGTTTTGCAGTATTACAGTTATACTAGTGAAAAAGAAGTCTGTGTCCTGAATAATTAACCAAGCTTTTGGGAAAAAAAATGTCCAGGCATGCTCTGAGTTGTTATAGCTTATAAGAGGGCAGCAGTTTGTGTGAGAGTGACTTGGCCCCGTGCTCTGGATTAGTCAAGGAAAGCGCACAGCAGTAAAGATATTTCCCTTTTAACCATTCCGTAACTGAATTAATCTGTCCATCTAGTCATTACACACACAAACATGAAGGCAGAGGAATAGGAAGTTCTCCTAAAATTAATATCTTTATTTTTATGCAGTTTAGGATTGTATTTTACAGTTGTTTAAGGTGCAGAATACATAATTTTAATACATCACTTTCAGAGCTAGATTCTGAGAGAGCTTTGAAATGCAGATGTCCTGGCCTGGCTGCAGGCCTTCATACGTAACTGCACATGGAATTTATGTGGGCTGATGCGGCATGTGTAAACAATGCTTCCAGGCTAGCCTGTTCATTGGTCCTGCCAAAACGGCACAGTGGGAAATGGAACCCGCGGCATCTGTCCAGGAACTTCATACAGGACATAAATCAGGACAGAAGCCATTATTCAACAACCTGTCTTTGTCTCTTTCTATCCTATCCTCTTGTACTCTTTCTCCATTGTTTTCTCTTCTTGTATGCTTTCTGCCCTTGACCCTCTTAACTTTTACTGAGAGATTAGGGTGTTTGGTCTGTATAACTTATCATTGTCCTGTTGTTGATCTGCCATGTTTTTCTGTTTCAAGCATTACAGCTGTACTGTACTATTCCTATTAGCTGTTGCTAGTCGTGGGTGCAATTTATGCTTGAAAGGGGAACTTTTGCAATGCCTTTATTTCTCTTAAGTGTTATCACAATTCTCTTACAGTGGAAAGTTAGTGTCTCCAAAGTGGAAGAACTTCAAGGGCCTGAAGTTGCAGTGGAGAGACAAAATTCGCCTGAACAACGCCATCTGGAGGGCTTGGTATATGCAATGTAAGGGGCAGTCTGTTGCATAATGCTATCCACAACCTTTCACTTCAGTTGGAGTCATTACGTTTCACTATTTAATTGTATCTTTTCTCCTCCACTTGTCAGATGTATAGCATGGAATTTGTCAAAGGCGGATGTATTAAATATGCTGCTTAAACAGGCGGTGTATGATAGGGTGGTATGAATTGCTGATTTTGGCCAATATTTGCTGCATAACAGTTAGTTTCCCAGTTAATGAAATGGCAAGAATTTATGAATTGGAACAGTTCTAAACAGTTGCTTTTAGCTTATGCCTTATCCCATTGTGTACTATTACACAAGTTCTGGGGGGTATTCCACAAAGCAGGATTTCTTCATTAGCCAAATGTAGGAATTGTCCATAAAGAATGGTAGTTCTCTTATTGGACAGTTTTCACGTTTTGCTTCAGGTATGCAGCTAACTGTGACTAAGTCTGGTACTAACTAACTGGTACGAAGTCACTTGGTTATCATTTTCTTTTAGTTATCGTGGCGTGTGTGCGTTGAAGCTTTTCCTTTCCCATAGGACAGTGCAACCTGATTCTGTGATGTAATGAAAACAAGATGTTTGCCCCCACACAGATGTAGAGAGGAGGGAGACTCCAGTGTGCCATTTTGTGACCCCTCTGGATGGAACCATGACCTCTGAGGCTTACCGTCCAGCTGAGGTAAGCAATGCAACCCCCCCCCCCCCAACACACACACACACACACACACACACATCCCCAGGTGTTGCACTGCACCATAGTGTGCCCCCTCACTGTAACAACATATTTTCTCTTGTCCTCCCTTGGCCTTCTGTCCTCAGTCTGTATCCACAGAGGGAAAGTACTGGAAGAGAAGAATTGAGATCGTCATCCGAGAGTATCACAAGTGGAGGACATACTTCAAGAAAAGGGTAAGATGATTTTTTTAAACATCTCTGGAGAAACACTCTTTTGTTCCTGTCATTGAAGTGCTTTTTATCTTGGTGTACAGTTTGTTTTAATTTTATAATTTTAATTCATTAGTTTGCAACTTCTCTCAGTTGTAAACTCTTTCCCCTTTATTTTTGTTTATATATTGTTTCTGAAATATCACTTAGTTTCTTGGTGAAGTTGATGTGCCTGTTGTTTTATGTGGTATCTTTGAATATAAATGTGTTAAGGAGCTTTTCATTGTAAGAATCAGCCAAACATTAGCATCTTAACCATATTTGTCATTGTCACAGTTGCAGAAACATAAGGATGATGATCTTTCAAGTCTACTGAAGGTTGGTGCCTCTCATTTCATATCGTTCTGTGTGCATTAAGACTGTGAATGTTTGAAATGGCTTGAAGGACCAAAGCCTTCATTTGTTTTCACTGTCAATTAGGTCCTTTTTTTGTGTGAATGTATCCATATGAAGTATTTGCCGTGTGTTACAAAATATAAACACGATGAGGATGTGTTGAAAACGCATGAAGAGACTAAGATGTGCTTGCGCCTGTTACTGGGAAGTGGACTGGTTTTTTTAAAAAATTGCCTCATTTGGGAAGTCTTGATATGACTTCTCTATGAAGGCTTAATGTGCTTCTGGTTAATTTCTCTGGTTGTTTTGGTTTTTGCACGAAGCAGTCTGGATTTAATGCAGCTGGACATGGTGTAGGCCAGGGGTACCCAACTCCAGTCCTGGGGGGCCAGAGACCTGCACATTTTTGGGTTTCCCCTCATTTAACACACCTGATTCAACTCCTTGTGCTAATTCTCTTGAGCTGAATCATTTATGCTGGAACAAGGAAAGAACTAAGCTACACAGGGCTCCGGCCCTCCAGGACTGGAGTTGGGCACCCCTGGTGTAGGCCAAAGGCAGCAGGCTTTTTAGCCAGATTAGACTGGAAACCTAGTGCTCCTTTACCACAGGTTCAAATAATTGCAGTTCTCTTGACTTGATGTTGTGCTGTAACCTTTTGCTGTTGTCTCCTGCTGTCCTGCATGAACCGACTGGCCTGCTTGTGCACTTTGACCACCCAAGGGAGCAGAAGAGCAGTACTCCCTGTTCGGGGGCATCTTTCCAGACACACTGCGTGTCTCCCTTTGCCAGGATGAGGAGGTGGGAGCTCGCCACTGCGGCCGTAAGAGCCGGGACACCCCGGAGCCCATGGAGATGGACCTGCTTATTGACATGGATGTGCTTATGTCGGAGTTTTCCGACACTCTCTTCTCCACACTGGCTTCCCATCAGTCCCTTGGCTTGCCAAACTCAAGGGACATTGGTGAGGCTCCCATATTGACTCCACTTCCTCAGCATATGGGCAGTAACCCCTTCGTCTTCACGCGGTCCGTCCCGTTCTGTGTGCCCACCTGTCCCCAGCATGACCCGTAATGTGACGCAGGTGCCAATGACATGAATCGCAGTAAAATTAGTCATTTTCACCATTTGATTCTTCCTTGAAGAACTGTGACGTTTCTGAGGGTAAAAATTGAGTCTGACTTTTGTCTCACCGTTGCTATGTTACACAGACACTACAGTAGTTGGGTTTTTTTATTGCCTCGATTTTGAAGACTTAAGTAGTAAAGGTCAGAGGTTTTTGTCTTGTGGGTACTGAATGTCGACTCTTTGTGGACTGACAACCTGTTTTTTCACTCCTTCCTTGCAGCACATGCTGCTAATGCAGACATGATCCAACCAGGCCTCAATCCCCTGCAGCCCAATGTGGATTTCATGGACTCCTTTGAGCATTATCCAGGTAAAGGTACCACGCACAGACATGCAGTGATATAACCAAAAACATCAGGGAAAAATGCCAGCAAGTTGTTATAAGTGCATGGGAATTTGCTGTGTCATGATTTATATAAAATCTCACATCATGCAAAGTTTGGCTGTAATTACAGGGTTTAGGAGACAAAATATGATTGATACAAACCACTCAAAACCGAGCCAGATGCATAACCAAAGCTTAAATTATACTAATAAGATGTAGTCTAAACACATGCTTGATCTTATGTTCCAGCAAGAGAGCTTTCTTTAATTTATTCAGCCTTATCACTGCTGAACCCTTTGACAGAGTAGCAGTGCTATGTACGTGTCCCTGTTTTTCGCAGACTTGTTTCAGCGGCCCTTCAATGCCCCCATCACCACACCGGTGCCCCCAATGTCAGCTAGCAGCTCACACACTCAGACCAACATGACATCTGAACAGGTGAGAGGCAGAGCTGACATCTCAACTTTGGCTCCCTTTGCCGTGCTGTGAGAATAATGAAACTTCCAAACCGCATGTGTCGGTTCGCCATGCGCTATTGGTTGCTGCCTGAATGATTCCCTGTGAGAAATATCAGACATTGTTAGCTGCTAGCAAGCAGACATTTTGCTTCTGCACAATCGTAGATACTGTGTTACTTAAGCAGGGTAATATCAAGGAGATGGTGCATGAGAAATGAGACATTGTGGGATGGCGTGCTAACTTGCCTAACATGGGCTTCTGTCCGCGTAACTGAGCTGGGCAATTGTTCTCCTTTAGGCCTCCTTGCTGCCGTCCATCGACCTTACAGCAGGGCTTCCCTCAGTCAGTTTGGACCCTCGGGCCATCTCTCCAGACCCTGTCTCAATTGTCCCAACTAGGCCCAGTCACAGCCGTGCGAGTGACACTGTCTCCACCTACGCCCCGAACTACGTACCCCTATTGGCCGGACCCACTGCTGTGGGTTCTGCTTCAGTGGCTGCTGCTACCCCTGTGGTCCAGCCCCTGCTGCAGGCCACTCCCTCAGTCCCAACTCCATTAGCCCCCCCCATTTTGGGTCAGGGCTCTGTGGTCCCACCCCTAGCGACACTGAACACCCAGCAGTCTCCTTCAGTCATCACACACACAGCTGCCTCCAAAGTTACACCCAGCGACGCTGCCACCACCTTCAGCCAGGGTTCTGGGTTTCCCTCGCCTGTGGTGTCCTGTAGACCCACGGCCACACTCCCCTCACCTGCCCTGCAGCCTCCTCAGACATTTGCCATGCCCAGGCCCATCCAGCCTGCTTTGCCGGTCAAGAAGCCAAGACCAGTCAAGCCGATCGTTTCAGCCACTACCATCTCTTCACCCCATCTCATCTTAGGTGACATACCGTTTTTTATCATTCCTTTTCAGATAAAGTTTTTGGGCAATCTTATGCAGGAAGGGCCGTTGGGTATGTGGGTTTTCGCTGCATCTGGCTAATTAGAGGACTGATTGGCTGAAGAGTCCTCACACCTGGGTTTGAACAGCTGACTTAAAGGTTATCCCAAAAACCTGCATACACACCGGCCCTTTGCGGGTAAAATTGCCCACCCCTGTCTTAAAGACATGCTGTTTGAATACTTTCAGGTGATGAATCTTAATATTCTTTAATGCACAATACATTTTCCCTATGAAGTCTTATTCACTGGCAGGGTAGGATGGGAACTGTTGGGGTCAGTTTAAAAGATGGTGTGATAATTTGGTAAGTGAGGCTCTGAGTTCAACAGTGGACTGACTAAAGTCAATTCAGCATCTACACCACAAGGTGACAGTGTTGTAGGTAGATTTGTCATAGTGAGTGTGCCATATGATATAGTGCAGTCACAGTCTTGGTGATTGCTTCATTTATTCTAAATTTTTCAAACTTATTGGTTTCATACCACAGCTCCATTGACAAGCAATGTTTAACATATCTGCACATATCTTTCTCAGACTTTTCCATTTGTTAAATATTTATTTGACTGATTCATTCATTTCTGTTCCTGCCATTTTACTATTAATTTGTTATAGAATTTGGCTCCCAAAGACACATTAAACACAGATGTTTGTTTTATGTTATTGCCAAGGTGTTATTAATTAAAGCTCCCAAGGATGCTTGTCAATGAACTTTTTAACTCCGAACAGCTCTTTTTGACCTGTAATTTGGGTTTCATCTTATTACTATTTATAAATGAATGTTGCACTTTAAAATTAATGGTTCTCTAAGGTGAATGTTATTTTTTGTAAAATGAATAAAGCAATGATTTTTTTTGTAATAAAACCAATAAATTTGCAATATATTTACTGAATTAAGCCTAGACGTCCCTAGGCTTTCTGTGAGCACTGTATTCCGTGTTCTAGATTGCCTGGCCGACAGCCCCTGGCATCTTTGAATATGAGTGTGTTGCCTTGCTGAAAGTCCCCTTGACTCAGCACCAGAGCTTATCAACAAAGCACTAATTTAAGCGTCTCAGCTGTGATTTTCTTGCCATCTTTTGAACAGAATATTGTACACTTGGATGGTGTAATTTCACATTAATTACCCTATTTAAAGGTACACTAGTATACCATCACAAGAGCTACAGCCTGTTGGTTGCAAAATGTTATACTGCATAAAACAGTCCTCCAGTCTAAGTCAGTATTCTTTCATTGGGTATGATGTCATATTTCTGGGTTGTGTAAACCACAACACTCCTTCACACTGATAGATTATTCCCCGTGATCCTGTGTTTCAGCCCCTTTCCCCGGGCAAGCCAGCACCCTCATCGTCACACAACCCTTAAAAGCAGAGGTGGTCCCCACGACTGGCCAAGTTGCCATTTCCTCACCAGCTGTCGGACGGGTAAACACACCATTGCACGTTGCATTGTTGAGCTTGTAGGTGATTCTTATTGCTTACCTGTCAAGCAGCTGGGTAAAGTTCACAGGCTAGGTTACTCAGCTGATCAGTACTTCAACTTTGGCTGAGGAACAGCAAGGCTTCAATGTGAGTGACTGTCAGGTCTGTGTATCTCACATCCCTCCCCCTTTCACCATCCAGGCTGGTTTCCACATCCTGTCTCAGACGCAAAACCCCCCTCAGCTCATCGTTCCCAAAGAGGAAACGGGCCCCTCCTCATCAAACTGTAAAACTCCGACACCCCCAACTAATGCAGGTCAGAAGGGAGCCTTTTCAGGATGGCTTTCTTGCATGGTCTTTATTAATATTTGTACGATTGCTTTCTGCAAAGGTGATTCCGTGTAATTTAATGGTGAGATTGAATGCAGTTGATTTTCCCTTTCAAGTATGTTCAGTCAGTTTTTAGGTTTTTTCCTGTTGGCTGTTGGGTTGTAGGCGTGTGTTTGGTGATCACCATTCTGAAGATGAGTGATTATTTACGTATGTATGTATGTGTGTGCGTGTGTACTGACTCTCTTGTATTTTTCAGTAAGAGACAGGCGCTGCTCAGGGCAGGGATCTCCATGTGGGTCAGAGCAGGCTCCCAGCCCCCAGTCGCCCCACAACACTTGTAACAGTCTGGCCAAGAATGAGTCTAACCAGGTGATTTCATCCTGTTGGTTCCCCCCCACCCCCCCATATGACTGAACAGGGTTTTTTTTAAATTATTTTGATGATATATTTTTTAATTACTTTTGCTGTTGCCCTGTAGAACCGTCGAGTGAATCACATATCTGCTGAGCAAAAAAGGCGCTTTAATATCAACGTAGGCTTCAAGACCCTCTGCGGTTTGGTTCCCACATTGAAATCTCAGTCGAATTTGAAGCCGGTAAGTAAACATTGTAAATATCATTTGTAAAACTTCAGTTTTAACCAAGTCAGTGACTCTCAGGAAGTAAATTTGCAGATTTTCTTTGCTGTTTCAGGTAAAAATCTTTTAGCCAGATGGGTTTATTGAACTTTCCCTGCAAACGGCTCACAAACTTTGGCAGCATGCGTGCACGCGTGCGTGTATCCGTGCACTTGATTGTTGGCATCGTGTGCACGCATGCGTGTGCATGAATTTGATGCGTGTGTATATCTTTACTGATGGAGTTTACTTTTTATTGGCACTCTAACATTTGTTTATTAATCTCTTTGAAGAGGATTGGAATGGGAAACTCCTTTTTAAAAGGCATTCCAGTTTCAGTAATTCCATTTATTAGTTGAAATTCAAATATTAATTGCAATTACACTACAGACCCAGCCCATCATTACACAGTAGCCTGAGCCAGCTGTGTGCAACTCACTGTGATGGCGAAACCTGCAGCATTAGCCTACTATGGTCTTAAGTGAGGAAAACAGAAAAGAGACAATAATATATAATAATTAGGGCTGGGAATCAAGGGGAAAAAAAATCTCATTTGCACTGTTTCCTGTGATTAGGTGTGAATGGTCATGATTAATATTAAAACTTATAAATATTTGTACATTGAAATGACCAAAAACTGAGCAAAAATATTCATCTTGTGCATACTGATTATTGTGGGTTACGTGCAATAAAATTGAAAGACTTAAAAACATTATGTAGTTTTGAGTTACCAAATGACAGTTTTAATGTTCCAAAAAGGTTAAGGTAGTCTCAGTTGCTCTCCACAAAAACACAATTTTACCATAACCTTTTTTGTTCCCAAAAAATTAATGTGAGAATGACCCACATTTTAATATTTGATGGTTGAAACTTGATGAACATATTAATCAATTAATACAAAATGTCAAAGCTTTTAAAAAGGATGAATGAACAGATGACAATAAGACGAGTGTGAAGGTATTAAGTATGGATGTTAAACTTTTTTTTTTATCACAGACCTTGGCGATTTAATGGTTATGCTACATATACATATAATCGCATGTACTCAAGTAAGTCAAAACATAAAACTCACTGCGTGATCAATCTAAAATCTAATCTAAATTGCTCTAAAAATAGAAGCCTGACAACTGAAAGTACACCTTATAAAATGAAAGATCTTAAGGTTTTATGGTATAGCCTTCAATAAAATTAAACAAATATTGCAAATTATGATATTTATTTTATGTATGCTGTATACCTCTGTTTTGGTAATTTTTAAATAATGAAATAAACCAAGTTAACATCAGCTTCCCTGTGAAACACTAAGTAAAAGTTTTTAGCTTTGAATTCTGAGATTCTGTGCAACTTCATAACCTAAACTCTCACCTTGTTTGCAGAGAGGAAGGAATATTTTAGGTCACTATTAAAATGCATCCTCATACTCTTCTCCCTTTCGCGTAACAAAATACAGCATGCGTTAACGTGATCAAAGAAATAACGTGTTATGACTTTTAAATTAATGCAATGTGTTAAAGTGATATATTTCCCAGCCCTAATAATAAGTCAAGTCAAGTTTATTTCTATAGCACATTTACAGCAGTTGTAACACTTCACCAAAGTACAAGAATCATAAAAGAATCATTAAAAAAAGCAATGAAAAACAAGCAACAAAATAGCAACAAAAGACATAAATTTAAATAACTTTAAAAGTCTGGAAAGGCTATCGAGAACAGATAAGTTTTAAGCCTAGATTTTAAAGCAGAGGTAGTTGGAGCAAATTTAATATCACGTGGTAACTGATTCCATAAACGAGGCACAGCAATTGCAAAGGCTCTATCACCCTTCTGTTTAAGCCCAGATCGGGGGATGTGCAGGAGGGCATTACCATTAGATCTCAAGGATCTAGGGGCTGGCTGAGGATGAACAAGGATGAACAAGATCTGCTATGTATGGTGGGGCCTGCCCATTAAGAGCCTTAAAAACCATCAATAAAATCTTAAAATGTATTCTAAAATGAACCGGGAGCCAGTGGAGTGAAGCTAGAACTGGTGTAATGTGTTCTCTCTTTTTAGTACCAGTCAGCAGTTGCATTGTGCTGCTGCATTCTGGACCAACTGTAGCCGTGATAAAAGTGACTGTGGAAGACCAAAATAAAGAGCATTGCAGTAGTCAAGCTGTGATGTAATAAAAGCATGTGTATGGCCTTCTCAAAATCATTAAGATTTAAAAAGAGCTTAAAGTCTTAATTGATAAAAGCTAGACTTGACCACAGAGCTTATTTGCTTGTCCATTTTAAAGTCGCCATCCATAATAATTATGGATGGCGACTTAACATAAGGTTCTAAGGAACCAAGGTCCAATTTGGGGCAGTTACTACTGGTATTGGGCTTAAAAATAAAAACCTCCATTTTGTTTTCATTGAAATTTAAGAAATTAAGAGCCATCCATTCTTTAATGTCTTCAAGGCAGTCAAATAATAATTTAAAAAAACTAGTGTCAGTCCGTTTTAAAGGCAAGTAGATTTGTGCATCGTCGACATAAAAATGAAATGAGATGCCATATTTTCTTAAAATGGCTCCCAACGGAAGGATATATAAAGAAAACAACATAGGGCCAAGTACGGAGCCCTGTGGGACTCCACAGTGAACAGATGCACGAGAGGATGTATAGTCACCAATTCTGACAGAAAAACTTCTGTCACAAAGGTAGGATCTAAACCACTCTAGTGCAGTCCCTGTAATGCCCACACAATACTCCAGCCGGGAGATTAATATGCTGTGGTTAGCCATATCAAATGCTGCTGTAAGGTCCAGCAGTACAAGGATAGCATAGTCACCAACATCAGTAGCTAATAAAAGATCATTATAGACCTTCAACAATGCAGTCTCTGTACTATGGAGAGCTTTAAAACCTGACTGTAATGGTTCAAGGATCTTATGCATATCCAAATAATACTGAAGTTGAAGCAGGACCAGTTTTTCCAGAAGCTTAGAAATAAAAGGAAGTGTAGAAATTGGTCTAAAATTAGACAAGATGGGAGTGTCGAGATGTGGTTTCTTTATCAGTGGTTGTACTAAGGCATTTTTGAGGTAGGCTGGGACAATACTGGAGGTCAGGCTACTGTTGATCATTGTCTGAATACAAGGACCTAAAACCTCAAAAGTATCTTTAATGAAACAGGGAGGAACAACATTTATAAGACCAGCTGATAATTTCATATTACAAATCACTTCCTCAATGGTGGACAAAGACACTGGCTCAAATTGACTAAAAGAAGTCGAACAGGATGGAGAGGCTAATGGGACATAAGAGGGGGGGGTATAATAAGAGCTCTAATATTATTAATTTTATCCACAAAAAAGTGCCGAAATTTCTCACAAGTGTCAATGGAGGCATCTGGACATTTGGAATGAGTGCCATTAAGAGCAGCATCGATGGTACGGAAGTGAATTCCAGGCTTGTGACAATTATTTGAGATTATATTAGAGAAATGTTTAACCTTTTCAGCTTTAACAGTTTCCTGGTACATACAGTTTTTCTGTCTGTCATTGCAGCCTGACACCTGCAGCCGATTCTTTTTCCACAAGCGCTCAGCCTTCCTGCACTCGCGTCTAATGGATCGAGTGACATAATTTAGCCACGGTTCAGATTTAGACTCAGGACGCAGAGTTTTATACGGTGCTGCAATGTTCAAAATGGTTTGACAAGTGGATAAAAATGACAAGGTTAACTCTTCAGTATTCTGACAAGAAGACATCTTTATTTAGCTGCCCGCAGGACAGTGATGCCATTCAGCAAAAACAAACAAGTTTTCTAAATTGTGGCTTGAAATTAAACTATTACATGATTGACATTAGACAGCAGACATAAGGTTGCGCGTGTGAAGTAGCTTAAAAGTTTAAATGTGACGTCATGCCATTTGGTTTAGGTTACGTCTAATTATGCTTGGGCAGTGTTTAATTTATACCATCATACTGTCTCTATATTATACCGTGGTATTTTCATGCTGTTTTCCAAAGCAAAACTATGTATTCATTGTTCAGGGGGGTGGATCCAAACAGTTTCCAGAATGTGCTTTTCGGGTTTTTGGGGGTCACTATATCACCACATTCTTCTTCTGATTCACACATTATTTCACTAGTTTCCTTGCTGGCTAGTTTCGGCTATTTTGGCAAGCTCAGTTTACTGAAGTCTGCCCCTAGATAAGCAACATGGACCATTAGGCAAAACAAAAACATGGGCACTCATGTAAGATGACAATGGTAACCTACAGAAGTCTTCAAAAATTCATACATTGAATATATACATATTTTAAAATTTCACATTTTATTCAAATAAAGTTCGTCCTTGCAGGCCTAGAAGATGAGCAATTGCACAATGTGTAACAAAACATTTTGGAAGGTTTGCATGTTTGTTTACTGTAAATTTTAAATACTGTATCCCCAACACACAAGTTAAAAGCCAAAATCCAAGTCAGCAAATTAAAACATCTTTTTACCAAAAATGTTCTACACCAGTGGTTCCCAAACTTTTTCCAGCCGCGTACCCCCTGCTACCAACGACTCTTAATTAGTGTCTATAAATAGATTGCAATACCGCATGCATAAAAATAAATACTGAACAGTCGATTATTTTTCACCACCAAATGAATTTATTAATATATTTTAGTAATAGATTGTTGCTATCCGGTGGGAGAATTTCACAGTAGGGATGGGCACGGAAAAGGTTTTTGGTTCCCGTCCCATCCCATCCCATTCGCGTTGGAGGGTTTCTGTTCCCGTCCAATTTAACCGCCAAATTTTCAAAACCCATTCCCATCCCATTCAGTCCCGTGGGATGTCATTCCCGTACCGTCCCATTCCCATCAAATTTCAGAAAATCTTCCATGCTGCAATGTGAACATTTGCCATGTTCCTAAAAATTCTGTTCATTACACAGTGTCTGACCACACAGACCTAGATCATACTGGACATATCAACTGGACATATTTTCCACTATTACAGATTGATGTCTTGCATACAGTATACTGATTTTATCGATTACTCAAGAACATACAATATAATTAATACCAATTGTTTTCACTGTAAAAATAATTCCCATGGT